AATCAAAAGTCGACAAAATAAAAACACGCAAATGCAAAACTAAAGCACAGAAAACTTACTCATGGTCGCAGTAGAAAGCGGTAGCCGGAGAATGTTTGATGAAGGCGCTGAGAGCGAGAAAGCACGATTTGCAGATGGAGAAATTAGGGCACAAGGGAGTTCGAGATTTGCAAAACTGAGAAAAGTCAGAAAATTTACCAAGTGCCGTATTTATAAGAGGGCAGAGGAATAAGGTGAAGAGTTAATGGAGATAGCCGTTAGATGAAAGAAGATCCAACGGTGGGAAGAAATTAAAGAGGCACAGATAGCGAAGCGGCACAAATCGCGAGGAGGCATGATGATTAAAGGTACTGAGCGGAAAGGATATATGGCAGGCGGAAATTACGCTAATAATAAAAGGAAATAGAGGACAGTTAAAGTACAATAAAATCGATCGCGTGGTCGAAGAATGGTGGTGGCATCAACCGAGATGATCGAGAGAGGAGGTCAGATGTAAGCAAGAGATCGAGAGGTTGGCAGAATGGAGAAGACAGCTCGAATTCACTCTTAGATCGAGTCATTTAGACTCGACCAGAGTGGGGGGGACTAGATGATATGGGATATTATATAACTAAAGAATAGACCGATTTCCCATATTGGTCGGGCGAGCTCGAGGTCGAAAAAACTATATTGGTCGAGTGATAATCGACCAAAAGGGAAAAGATCGAGCAGAATAGCATAACTGGTCGAGGATCGACCTAGCGATGGGGGACTCGGTCAGATCGAGCACTCAACAGGTGAAGAGCAGTCGAGAGCGTGGCTTGAACGCGAGAAAGCACGTGGGCTGCGTTAGAAGATCTTAACGGGATGCGCAGAGAATAATCTCCCTCTGCTCAGAGGGACACGTGGTGAGAGTACATTGGTGCAGAGCAATAGTGGCGATAACCACCTCTGACACCTCTGACACACGCATACTATGTGTGTACGGACGGGCAGAATAGCTCACAAGATCCGGGTAGCTCCTAGGGCAGGTACCTCACTCCTATATATACAGGAGCGAGTCTTTTCTTGTGACTTATGATTTATCCATTACATACTTTTGAGAATTGAGTAAAATATACACTGACTTAAGCATCGGAGGCTCTTCACTGGAAAACCCCTCCAGTGTGAGAGTTCTGTGCAGGTGCGCGGCATTCTACCGGCGCGGCGTTCTGTGCAGGTGCGCGGCGTTCAAGCCGGTCGGAGTGTTTTGCATTACCAAGGGGTAAATAGGTGGGAAAAGGAATGTAGGAGCAGAGATGTCAAGGACAAAAAATGAAATATAAATCGAACAGATGCAGTAAAATTACAGAGAGAAAGGAATACTTACGCAGCGACATAATTTCTTGACGGTTGAAATAGATGATGCAGCGGTCGACGGCGGAGTAGTGGCAATGAAGACTTCGGTTGGTGCAGAAAGATGGATAGAATTATAGAAAAAGACCTTTTGTAGAGGTGAAAAAACTGGAAAATTAGGCTAATGGTCCTATCTATGGGTAAAAGGAAAAAGAAGTGAGAGAGGTTGATTAATCCCGATTGTCGGATCGTGGTCAAAACGAATGGTCAAGATCAAAATTTTAAATTGAATGGGCAGGTCGAGCATGACCGTTGGATCGTAGTCGAATGGGCGAATGAGACTGGAAAAATGAGTCGAAAGGACAACCTATAAGAGCCGTTAGATTAAAAAAGAATAAGACCGTCAGAGTTAATGTAGCATTTAATGGCACACTGCACAAAGACAACATGGATGACGTCATGGTTGCGTCGAAAGGACATTTTGACTGGTTAATGACAATGGTGGAGATTTAAAACTCAAAATTTGAACTCAAGACCTCAGCTGGAGGTCGAAAAAATTATTTTGAAATTAAATAAAAGAATCCCGAGTGAGGTGGTCGATTGGATGAGGTGTGAGCTCAATAAGAGAGACTATAGATAGTCCGAACTGAGTGAATCGGTAGGTCAAAAGAAGATCGAAGGAGCTTCAAATCGAAGAGTCCTGAGGTCGATGAGGACGCCACAAGAAAAAAGGATCACCGACAGATCGAGCTAGGGCATTCGGATGGCCTTGTAGAACCTGAAGGCATACCTGGACGTTGGATCGACCAGAGTAGCAGAGTGCACGAGCTTAGTGTGGAAAGACTATCTGCCTCATAGAAAGTTGGGTCGGTCGTATGATTAGACCGTCTAATAAGGAATACTAATGGATAAAAGAACCACACGTGGATTGGACCACGTGTTCTAACAAAAAAATGGGCAGTTCGGGCACTTGAGCAGTACGAATGGGTAGTTCGGGCAGCTGGGCTTTAGACAGTCTTGGGCAACAAGGCAACACCCCTATATAAAGGGGTGAGGCATGTTCTTTTACATTCTACACACTCTTTACTCTTACAAAGCTCATATCTACTGTTCATCGTCTTTTTCATCACTGTGGACTGAATTGATCGTCGAAGTGCTAACACCGAGAACCATCCCGACTCATTTTACAGGTCTTTGAATTAGTCAAGGAGCATATCCAGGCCGTGCAAGCCAACCAAGGTCTTTTGCACACCAGCAAGAATAAGGTCCTCTCCACCAACCAATAAGCCGCTCTGTATCTCCAATACATAAGCCAACACCCAAGATGACCACCTAAGAAGACATAGAAACACAACCCACGACCCAACACACAGATCTAGAAACTCCCCTTACGACTAACTAGATCCGGACCAAAAATCCTCCCAAAATGATTACCACCGGGTCGACACCAAAAAACCCACATCAACCCTTCCCCCAAGCACACTCCAGCGACAACAGCCAAGCGAGATTGACCGAAGACAAAAATTCAAATGTGAATACTACTAAAATAATAAATCTATACTTATATTATAGGGGGTACTATTTACCAAATTAAGTAGCCAGAAAAGTCAACAGCATTTATTGCATTACTATTTCCGTATTATATTATATAAAAGGATATTCTATTTACTACATTTATTATCCAGAAAAGTCAACTGCATTAAATGTCATTACTATTTTGGTATTATAATATTTTATTTATTTAATTGATTTATTTATTTGTTTTATTTTAAAAAGGTAAGTATAATAAAAAGATTTTAATAATAAAAAAATTAAATACCAAATAAAAATGTACGAAGCAACAAATGAACATAAAGCACACTGGTTACACAACCCTAACCCCCAAAATACATCCGCCGCCGCTCCTTCAAAAATCTTGACAGTCGGCCTTCCCCGGTGACAGCTTTGCTCCGGCCAATGGTCGTCTTCAACGGCCCGCACCACTTCTGACTGGCACCCCTCGGTTACTGCTGCGGAGGGTCGGAGATGGTTGGTCGGTCTGTGGCTCCAGACGGGTGCTCGATCCTAGGCGGAAGATGGTCAGCGATTCGGTCGCCGGCAGGTCCCCTGGTGGTCGTCGTCACCGTGGCTCTTTGTTTCTGGTCTGCGAACTACGGGTCCCTCCCGATTGGCATCGCCTGTTCCGGTGGAGCTGCGGGTGGAGTTCGGCCTCCAGTTGCCGGCGGTTTGCGGTGGCGAGGAGTGTGGTCCTTTTGTGAGGTGGGGCTTTGGCAGCGTTTTGGTGGAGCGCGTCCTTCGCCGTGGTTGCCGGAGTAGCGGAATGCGCCTCTCCTTCCTTCCCTGTCGGCTAGTGGTGTTAGGCGGCGGGGGACCTGGCTCTCCCGAGCTCGGCTAGTGGTGTTAGACGGGTTCGGGTGGGGCTGGGATGGGGGGTCCTTGTAGTTGTTATAGTTGTTTGTGCTGTTTGTTAGTTTAGTTGCGAGTGTGTTTTTTATTCTAGCGTTGCTAGTCGGGATTCTAAGCGGGCTTCTAACCTGTCCTCCCACTTTTTCAGCCGTTGGCTGCTGTGTATTCGCACATTTGTGCATTTTGATTTATAAAACTATCTATCGTTTCGGAAAAAAAAATAAAATAAAATAAAAATGTACACTTTGACTTATTTGATTATATTTGGTATTTGATTATACCAAATATATTCCTATTTAGTATATACATTAAATACTTACTAAAGTATTTATTTGTTTTATTTGTCAAAGTTAAGTATAGATTTGTTTATATTATCAAATCATAAAAAATATTAAATCTATATTGTAAAAAAAAAAAATTCATATAATTTTATAACATTATACTACACTATTTAACAATATTCTTTTTTTATTATATAATAAAATAATAATTAAATATTATATGGTGAACAACAATAAGTAAAATTGTTATTTTCTCTTATATCAAGGGATAAATTTATATGCTAAAATCAAATCTTTATTAGTATAAATATTTTAGTGAGATAATATATTAATTATTTTACAAACTAGCCCTAACATGCTCATATTTAATGATTTAAAAGATGTAGAAAAAAAACTTATAATAACTCTATTATTTTTTAGACTTAAACGTTGATTAAAAGAGGTAAAATTCCTAATGTTTTAGACTTAAACGTTGATTAACACCATACATTGAGAGTTTATATTTAGTAAAATTCCTAATTGTAATAAAAAAATTAATTTTTGCTATATTTTAGAATATTTTTAAATTCATTATAAAAAAAAAAGAGAAAAAAAACTACAATGAAAAAAACAAGTCAGCTATATATCGATTTGTTGTACTCCTCAAATCACATTCACAATTTGGCTACAAGGAAATGAAACTCATTGATTAAAATATTATTTTGTCAGTAGTCTTAATGTACAAGAGACTTTAAGACTCAACTTGAATATTATAAAATTTTTATTGAACATCGTACAATTTCTTGCGTATTATAAACTTTTATTGAATATTGCATCTTATAATATAATATTCTCCAAATAAATATATCTCGCGGGTCACGTACTATATATATTCCGTACATTTTTCTTTATTCATGTATATAATTATAAATTTGGATAAATAGCCTTAAAATTGTGCACCCGGTGCTAGTCTTTTTTAAAAGGGAACAAGAGATAATTGTTGCAAAAGTCAATATTAGCCCTTTCCTTCTTTCGGAAGTTTGGATGGATGGTCCTACTGGACCCGCCTACATGGTATAAGTAACTTCTCTCTCCGCCCATCAGAGGCGGCGATTCTAACGGTCATTTCATTTCGGTCCTCCGCCCGGCGGCCCGTCCCCTACGCGCTGTCGCCATGACTCGCTCAACCACCCCACCTCCTTCTTCCCCTGACCTCACTCATTCTCATGTAGTAAATCCACCCCAAATACCCATCGAGATAGTCGCCGAAGATGAGATGGCACTAATCGAAGCCGCCTTCGCCGCCACCGCGGCGCTGCCTTCCTCCCGGAATGTCAGGTCAATTCGGTCCATCACTCTCCTGTCCAAGCGCGGGCTATCTGCTTGCACAGCTTCCGGATCGCCTGACATAGAGGATTCGGGTCGGATCTCCGGGTCGGGCAGCCCTCGGAAGACTCTAAAACACCTGGCGCTGGAGCCTTTCCTGCATCAGTTTCGGAGGGGGAGAGGCCTATCCGTCACTGACATTACTGGAACGGTATTATGAATTTGCCCAGTGTCATAGTGAAAAATGCTGTGCATATACTTTTTGGAGTTATTTTCGTATTTATGTGTTTCAGCGTTTGTCTACCTATGGTGACTCGTGTTTTGAAGTCGAGCAAACAGAGAATTGAAGTTGAATATACTAGTACAGTACTATAGGTATTGTTTTTCTTGTATTTGTGTGGTTTCAATTGGTTACTCCGAGTAAAATCGAGGTTTTCTAGATTTATCCACGAGTTGAGACACATTGCTTTTGTGGCATTGTTTGAGTTGTGGAATTGGGTATTCTCAGGCTCAGGACCCGTCTTCATTTTGTTAGTTGTTACTGAAACGGAATCTGGATGGCTTGGTAGTTCTTAGGTGGCTTTGATTGAAAGATGGATTATATTCATGCAGTTGTCATGTGGAAAATGTAACATTTTGATTGTTGTAACGCCTAAAGCTACTTGCTTGTTGTAGTCGCGTTAAAGAATTTTCAATTAGTTTCAATCTTCATGAAGGACATGGTGAAGTGAATTTGCATGTTCTCTTTGTTAGGATGCGGTTCATGTCTCTACTAAAAGTTTGTGCTCATCACATTTTCAATCTCCACATGATCACAACATATTCTTTTCAGATATTTTATGTTCTAACAAAGATGAGTAATCTTTTCTTTTGTTTTTTCTCTCCTTTTTTTTTTCCTGACTTTTTTCAGGAATGGTGTGAAAAACAAATGGAGTTTATTCTGCTTCTTGGGAAACCTAAAAGGACGAAAGCTATGAAAGCAGGCAGTGCTCGCCATGTAATACTTGAAGAAGAGGTGTATATTTCCCTCCTGACTTTTCTTTGAAATATATGTTCGTCCAATCGAATGATCATTAATTATGGCTCTCCAGACATGGCTATATTGTATGCAGGGAAAAGGAACAGGCCGTTTTATATACTTTAAGCAGTTTCTCCTTTATGTTCCTTTTGCAATATTTATGATTTTTTTCTGGGACAGGTGATCAAAAGGGTCAAAGTTGAAGTTCAATCAACTGAAGACGTGTGGGCGCTTAAATTAATGAATTTTATTGTCGGTGTAAACCAGCTTCTATTTGATGGATTAACACGCGAATTACCTTTGTAAGTTTTTTGTATTACATCTGTCAAGTGGCTTGATGTTAATGATTTTACACTTAATCGCATAGAACCAGTAATTAGATTAGACTTCTAGCTTAAGGTTAGAAGCAAAAAAATGTTACACTATGCGAGTAACTTTAACTTTTCTTAAATTAGTGGNAACTCAGTTTAGGATGAAAATACAAAATGGGGTTTGAGAAAGGGTGAGGGAATGAGCCATCTGGGCAATGCCGAATGTGAATCATTTACTCAGATGATCTTATGAATTTTGAATTGATGTATATTCAGAGTGTGGTTTGTAGAAGGTGTGTGGATGGTGGGAGTCATAGATGAGCTTCGGATGTCTGTATCAGAGTCCAAAAGATCCCCAATGTTAGTTGACACAAAAACTCGCGTTCAAGCAAAACTTCCAGGTGAACCGCAAAAGAGAAACGGAAGGTATAAGGTTACTGTCATCTATAGCTGATTAATTTACCTTACATTTTCTACTCTTGCCTCTTCTTATTTTTTCATTTAGTCAAGATCTATATTTTGGCAGGCTTCAACTAATGTGCTACAAGTACATGTGGGACAGTTTAGTAGCTGACAAATTTCCTTCACAAAAATTTTTTGATTTCTTTTCGTTGAACCCCAATCATATATTATCGCCAGAAATCAGAGAGAATTCAGCAAAGTCAGGTTTTCCTTCGGAGGTAACATCTACTATTTGATTGTGGCTTCAAAGTTATAGTTGTGCATGGAGATATACGGTAAATGGAAATAGTAAAACTTGCGGAATATTCAGAGAAACCTGTGCAGTGTCTTTCAGTATAAGAAGATTTGGTACAACACATCCTCCAGACATAAACATCATTTAAAGAAGTTTACCAATTTTTATCATGCGCAAGTTCCCATGTGAAGTGAGAGCAACAGAGGTTTAAGTTCAGGGAAAAAATTAAAAACTAATTTTCTGTAGTGCATATTGCTAATTCTGTCATCTATCACTTATTATTCAACTACTTAATGGTTGAAGTTTATTTTGGAAAAAAGAAACAAAAACTCACAAATACAGAAAACTGAGGTGGTAGGAAAGATCTGCACATTTTGCTCTTGACGCTTTCTTTAATAGTTGAATTTAACATCTGTTTTGTCCTCTTGTAGACTTTGAACGATGTGGTGAGATATTTTGGAAATAGTTGTCATTTGCTGCCGCAGGCTCACGACAAGCTACTATTGAGGTTAGTTTGAGCAGTAACTTGAACTAGATTGGTGGCATTATATGTTCTGCAATTTCTAGGCTTCACTTGATACTCTTCTCAAAAGATAAATTATGGCTGTATTTTTCATCACATAAAATTGAGCATTGCTGGAGCTGATGTTGCTGTTTCATAGTTTTCCAGTTTTTGAGGTCCTGGTTTTTGAGTCCTCACAAGATAAAAGCTCCTAAAGTTGGCGATAATGTAGTTTTTAGGAAAGGAATAAAACAAGATTACACAGTCATTATTTGTAGTCTCCATTTACTTATTGGATAATTATGAAAGCACGTATCTTTCCGTATTAGATCCTGTTATCATTTGAAAAGTGCAACTACTCCTTGAGAGTTGTGTTTGTTTTACAAATACCCTCCACAATAGTTAAACGATGTTAAATAGGACCAAGTCAAGGGGCTATAAACAATAGGGGGGGTACACACTGCGTTTTTCTTTTTCCTTTTTTCTTTTTGTTCACTTCTGTGCAATATTCATTTCATTTCTAAATTGACTTGCATTTCTTGACTTTAATGATTTTTTTCCACTTTTTGGGGGAACAGATATGAGTTACAGGAAGACAATTCCTTACTTGGTGAAGATGAATTTACTTATGAGCATGACTGGGTTAAAGATCAAATCAAGTCTTGTCTTGAGTTTTGGCTTGGAAAACGAGAAGCAACTTATCCTCCAATGGATGAGCGCTGGAAATGCAGGCACTGTAAGTTCGCCTTTGTTTGCACAGTTTTCTCTGATAACCAAAACTGTTCTTCACCAAGTAAAACTGTGAATGAAGACGAAGCATGTTGTTCTTCTGATAAGTAAAATCATTTTTTTTATGATTTTTATATTTTATATTTAAAGAGAATCAATCAGTTCTATTGAAGCTTCTCTGTTACCCTCTTCATTGTTTATCAGTTATTGTGGAGGATTTTAATCATTTAATGTATGTTGTTCATGTAAATAGTGACTCATTCTTTTTCTGTTGTAGTGAGTAATAGCAGAAGATCAATATGTAAGGGTTGAACAAATATTTATCGATTTCCATAAATGTAAATCCATGAATTGTTAATAAAGAATATTCACGAATCTCTATTATATTGCTTCATCAAACAGGAGGCTTTCAGTTAACAGGTAAATCATTTAAAGACAATTATTTGTTGTACTGTTATTAGTCTGAACATTCAGCCCCAAAATACTTCTTCCCAGAAAGATGAATCAAAATTGAGAATCGGAATCCTACTTTTCCCTCTCAATTCTCTTGTCAACGACAATTATGGAATCATCATTGTTGAAGTGTATTGTGTTTATGTATGTATGATACTATGATGTATAAGATTACAGTCTGCTATTGAGTGGTTGTCACAAATGAAAAATCATTTTAGATTGATTGGTGATACATAATCTGGAAGGGAAATAAATACAATCTTACTCCAATTTTCCATTTATGCCCACTATTTTCTTAGTTGTATATAGTTGGCCAATTTTGTTTTCAGAGTTCCAATTTTCTACAATAATTTTGTGTTATGTCAAGTTATTTGAATCTTCATCTTCCGACATATATCACATAAAAGCTTTCAACCAATCTATTCAATAATTCAACGTATTGGACCATGATCATATTTGTTGAATATTCATTTTCTAACATATATCAAACCAAAGGACGATCTTATGCAATAATTACACGTATTGGTTTCATCACGCTTCTACTATCAGTGAGTAACGAAATTGCTATCAAAGCAACTAGAAAGTCTCAAATTACAGTTTCTGTTCACCGGTTGTGACCATATAATTTCATTGGCACAAAAGATAGGTTAGAAAGAAAAGGTGTTATAGAGGATGTTGTCTGCTCTTGGTGTGGGGAGCATACTGAGGACTTAGAACATATATTTTTTAGCTGTGTGAGAGCTAAACTTGTTTGGATGTTAGTTGGTATCCACTGGGATGTGGAAGGGGATAAACCTGTGTGAGAATGTTGGGAAAGTTTGTGCAAGCTGCAGGGACTGGGTAAGGGTTTGGATAGAATATCATTGTCTACTTACATTCTCTGGTGGTTGTGGAAAACCAGGAATATTTTGATCTTTAGAGGAGTGAAAATTTATAAGAGAGAGTTAGTTGAGGGAGCTAGGCTTGAGTGGATGGAGTTTGAGGAGGCAGCAGATAGCTCTCAGGGGCAAATTAGGAGGGTATAGGAACATGGAGTAGGAGTCTTAGGCAAGAATCCAGTGCTGCAGTTTCTGAAGGAGAGGGGATGAGGGTGAAAGGAAGAGCCTACATTAAAGATGAAGAAGTGGCAGTATGGTCTGTTTCTAGGGAGAAAGTCAATCTTTCAGTGGAATCAGAGATGCTGCAACTGAGGGAATGGTAAGGACAGGGTCAAGGTCTGGGGTGGAAGAAAGTGCAGGTATTTCTGGATAATGAGCAGGTGGTGAAGTGGTTAAATACTAGAAAGGATTTTCCTTCTAGTTTGTATATATGCTGTTGTTCAAGACATTTTCATTTTGTCTAATTTCTGTCTTCTGTACATGTTTAGTTTGAGTTGATGGATTTTGTTGTTGCTGTGTTTTTGTTTTGGCCTCTATGATCTTGTAGGGGTGGCCGAGTGTGGCCTCCCCCTTGTGAAAAGTCATTTGTAAGTTGTGGGTTGGAACTTGTGCAATCCGTTGATTGCGCAGTCTGTATATTTTCGAGTTAGTGTAATGCAATTTGATGTTCGAAAAAAAAAAACTGTTATTTTATAAAGTTTAAATGGTATCTTTGAATAAAGATTGAATACTTACACCACAAGAATTTCTATGATCCATCTTGCAAAGTGAAACCCCAAACAATGTTATTTCATCGCTCTTAGTTTGCTGCTAGTGAGCCACGCATTTATCATCGATTAATACAAGAATTTGAGTGATTGATGTATGCTATATGCAAATTGATGCACATTGTAACGCCTCGTTATTTTAAACAGACAACTCAAAGTTTTCGGAGAAAGTTTGAAATTTTAAGAAAATCATTTATCGATTTAAAATCATTTTCCGGGATTATTCAAATTCCAATATTTCCCTTTTCACTTAGCTTAAATCGCCCCTTAAGCCATTAAAAACTCATTGCCCAAAGATCATGTTTCGTTTCAACAAATCTAGACATAAAACAATCAATCACTCATGGTCTCGAAAACATCAATCACAACCATAGTTCAACATTCATAAAATCCCGAAACAACATAAGTTTGGAAAACGTTGCAGAAGCAAAATATACAACACATCACAACTTAAGACCACACTCGTCCCATCGTCGCCACCGCTAGCAACTCAACCTGAAAAATATAATTTATGGGGTGGGCAAGCAACTAGCTCAACGTGGGAATTACTATGCAATATATTCAATATAATAACATATAATATAATCGCAACATGAACATAAATCATCATCAACACATCTATCTCCATTCATAGTCTCATAGTCTCATGTAAGGATGAAATCGGTCGGAAACGGTCGAAAAGCTCCTCTATTGTTTTCTACTTTTATATTTGAATACGAACGCGGAAGCGGAAACGGTATAGCCGGAAACGAAAACGAAAACGAACTTATGGTATTTCGAAAACGAATCAATTCGAGCGGAATTATGTCGAACACGGCCGGTGTACGAAAATTCAATACGAAATACCGACCCACGGTGCACAACTTTAAACATGTGAATGACCAAACTAACAAGTGCATGATTTAGTTCAAGTGCACATAATAGTTAAAAGGTGCATGACCTTAAGTATCATCATAACTCAAAAGTCTAGAACAAGCAATGAAGCAATTAATAGGACACAAACATCTACAGTTCATCAGCATCATCCATGATGTCAGGATCACTTTCCATGTCCTTTGCTTCCTCATTGTCCACCTCATTGTCCTCATCTCCCTCCTTGTTATTTTCCTACAAGTTTGTAAAAGTTAATTAAAATTGTCCTCAACACCAATATAAAGTTAAAATCGAATTCTGCATAATAAAAATTTTCACCCAAGTTCTCAGGTCTAGTATTAAAAGATACTAATAGCTCGACATGCTTCTGGAATAACAAAGAAAATAGGTAGAACAATCAAAGGCTAACACTTAGAACATTTTAATTCACTGCAACTTCACAAAAGCAGGAGCCAGCATCCTCAATTTCTTTACCACACATATGCTAGGCATAACTAGTGAAGATTACAACAAAGTCCAATACTACCAGAGGAAACAGTCAATAAACATACCTCAATTTTCAGTTTAGCCACAACATTAGTTAAAGCGTCAACCTCAAGATCACTCACAATTGATCCAAGCTTTTTAGAATCTGAAAAAAAAAAATAAAAAAACAAAAATTCAATGCATTTCTGTTGCAATTACAAGTATCAAACAAAAAAAAAAACAAGTAAAATGAGCACCTTTACTTGCTGCAGCAACCCAATCCTTTGTGCAAATTAATGCCTGTACCATCTCGGGATCAAGCCGACTGCGATAGGGATCAACAACATGGCCAGCAACACTAAAAGCAGACTCGGATGCTACTGTTGACACTTGTATGGCCATTACATCCCGAACAATTTGTGAAAGGATAGGATACTGCTCTCTCTTGTTTTTCCACCATGCTAAGATGTCAAACTCACCACTAAGTTTCAGTAGTGGTTCTCCAATATACATGCCCAGCTCATTTGACTCAACCATACCAAGTTCACTTGCTTCATATAAGAATTCTTCTAAGTCATGGTCTATATTTTCCATTAATATATCAGTTGTGTTACTAGGTCTGGGTGCAGGCCCTTCTCTAGTTTTCTTTGATGATGCAGCAATATTAACATAAAAGTTGTACAGTTTCTTTACCACAGTAACAAACTCATCAAGTTCAGCTTGATAATAACCACCATAGAACTTCTTCATGTAGTATTCTATCAGCCTTTTCTTATACCTAGGGTCAAGAAAACAGGCTACAGCTAGAGCAATGTTGGACTGATCCCAATATTTGTCAAATTTTGACTTCATAGAAATTGCCATTTCTCTAATTGTAATATTTTCATCATAGCGCCACTCATCAAGCAAGACCTTGATATCACAGAAACCTCTATAAAATAAGTTTGTAGTAGGGTATGAAGTGCCAGAGAGAATTTCAGTGAGATCATAAAATTTCTTCAAGCAACCATAAATTGTCAATGCATTGTCCCATTCAGCAGAAGATAGAGAAATCTTGGCATACTTACGGCGATCTGAAGACTTCAGCCTAATAAATGCATCCTTGTAGTACAAGGCATCTCGCAGCATTAGGTAGGTAGAGTTCCACCTTGTTGAAACATCCATTTGAATACCCCTCTTTGTATCCAACCCAGCTTCAGTGGCACACTTCATAAGCTCTTCCCACTGCAATGGAGACCCTTTCACAGCTAATACAAGTGATTTGATCTTGCTGAGTGTTCCTGAAATGACTTTCAACCCATCTCTAGCAACCAAATTCAGAATATGGCATGCACACCTTACATGAAAAAATATCCCATCACAAACTAAGGAACCATTACCATTGTCTTTCAGATCTGAAATTATATCATTGACAGCCACTTCATTTGAACTAGCATTATCCAAAGTCAGAGCAAACAGTCTATTTTCAATGTACCATTTAACCATAACTTCAGTGAATGTTTCAGACAACTTTGCACCGGTATGCCTACCTTTTACATTGAAAAAACCAATATTTCTCTTTTGCATATGCCAATTATCATCTATCCAATGAATAGTAACACACATGTACCCTTTGTTTTGGCATGAGGTCCACATATCCATTGTTGCACTAAAGCGGCACTTCATAGTCTTCAAGTATGCATACAAAGTTTCCTTTTCTTCAAGATATCTGTCCATTATTTCTTTCCTAACAGTGACACGGGATTTTATCGGAAATCTAGGACGGAGAGATTTGATGAAATCAACCAAATACTCATGCTCAACTATATTGAAAGGATATTCATGCATGATTATTGCCAAATTTAATTTCTTCAAGCTAGCTTCTTGGTCAAATCTGTAAGGCTGAACATGAGCAATTTCAGAACCAGGGTTCTTACCAACTTTAAGCTGTTGTTGTCCCTTCACAATACTGTGTTTTGAAAGTAAATGGTGCTTGAATGAAGTTGTGCCATTGATGCCCTCTGCTCTGTATTTCTGCTCACACCTAGAGAAATTGCAGTGTCCCCACAACTCCTCAACTAGCTTTCCTTCCATCTCTACATACTCTTTTTTCTTGGTGAAATAACTCCAGACCCACGATGTCAATTTCTTAAACCTCTTGCCAGAAAGGCGAGCTTGCTCATCATCCTCTTGTTCATCATTGTCGACATTAATTGGCACTTGAACCTGCTCTGTTGCATCACTCTCAACTGATGCTGCCACTGATGCTACTGTAGCTGGACTTTCACAAGTTCCACTAGATGCAACACTTTGAGATGCTTCCCTTCTACTCCCTGATCCTACCAACAACCAAGTGAAACATTGCTAAATTAGAAAAAAAATAATCTAAAATAGCCAAATAATCTAGCAAAAAGATACACGGACGGCAAATCACCTTAACATCTATTGGTAGGGTTCAGGTTATTAACATAACATCATGGGATGGGATAGGCATGCAAATAGCGACACATACATTAAATTGGAACCTGGTAAGCTCACTTAAAGCAGTCCAACTTGTTTATAGTGGTCAAAAAGTGGTCTAAAATGTCATTAAAGGTTAACACAGATTGGGTAGACAGACACATTGCATTTAAATTTGTGCTCCAAATAGCAGTGGGCGGAGACTGAATAGCAGTACACAAACGAAACTAAATACTCTACATTTGCCTGATGAATAGCAGTGCACAAACGAAAATGAATTTAGTGGTAGGAAGACGAACCTGCTGTTGGAGACGTCGTTGCAGCCTGTACGGGCGGCGGCTCTAGAAGGCTACGCACACTCCTCGTCTTGGGCTTGCTCCCCTTGCCCCCCTTTGTTCCAGGAGCAGAAGCACGATCTCCAGCGGGCGCCAACGACGCGCGGGGTGGGGAGTGACGACCGGTGGCCGGCGGGGTGGGGAATGGCGACCGACGAGGTGGGAATGGCAGGCACGGCGCGAGCCTTGGCCCCTGGAGTCGTGTCGTCAGCGAGACCCGTCCTTCGACGCCTCACGGACTGATGGCGGCCGCCAGGAAGAGAGGAACGGAGAAGGCAAGTGAGGGAAATAGGGAATACGGGAGTGGAGGTGGGTGTCAACTGTCAAGCACTTAGGGTTGTCAACTTGGGTTGGGCTGTAAGTTGGCTACTGGGCCATGTGACCTGTAGGGAATATTGGACCAAATTTGAAACCTTCCAAATTTTAAATACGGTTGCATACCGAATATAATATAGAAATGTAGAAATCGGTCGAAAAAGGCCCATATCGAATTCCGCTCCGTTTTCGAATTTTCTGTTCGAATTTCGAACCGAATTCGAATTATTCCGAAAAAAGTGAAAAACGATCGGGTCAAATGTAGAAAACGATGCGATTCGGTCTGGAAATTTCGTTTTCGTTTTCAACCCTAGTCTCATGTGCACATCTTATACCGTCGGATTCACCATTCATTAGACTCTCATCATCGACAGGAGCCAAACTACCGTCGGATTCGCCATTCATTAGGCGCTCATCGACAGGAGCCAAACTGAATGCCTCTCACTAGGCAAATGGAGATCGCCTTTCATTTGACATCTCCTCTCATTAGGCCAATGGTTCATACACATACATTAATTATATAATCAAGCGATTATAAAAAATAAAGGCATAGTAAAGTTTAGCAACACCTACCTCAGGTCGGAAAATGACACAATATGCAGATGCTTCACCGTAGGTTCGAGGGCTCGACTCCTCGGAAATCTAAAATTAAACGAGATAATTCTTATAAATAAATTATCTCATTTTCTGGGAAAATAATTGAATTTTCAATTTAATCAAAAAATAATTTGATTAAGGACTTCATAAAAATTTGTGGAATTTGGAACTCTCGATTAATGGTGAAAAATCTCGGAAAATGGGTTTACTAAGTTAAAATATGATTCGGTAAGAAAAACGGGTCAAATAGCATAAAAATGGCTCGATGGTTCGAGGTGTGGCTTGCACAGGCTGCTGGCGCTGGGCGCTACACCTGGGAAGACGCCTGGGGTCGAGGTCTGGGCGTCTAAGTCTGCAGGATACTGGGCACTGCAGGTGCACGGGCAACGCTGCGAGCGTGCGTTGCTGGGGTGCTGTGGGTGTCTACAACATTGCGCACTGCGGCTCGCTCTACACTTCGGGCGCATGGTATTGCAGGGCACACGGCACTGCGGCCGCTGCAGGTCTATACGCGGCTCGCCCGGCTGCCTGCTGGGAGCCTAGTGCCAGCTGGCCCGGCTGAGGAAAATCTCACGTGAAAATTCGCCGGCCGGCGGCTACTTTCTCCGGCCCACCAGGGCTATTTAAAGCTTATAATTTATGGTTTTTACCAAGGCTAAGAATTTTAAAAAATTTGATTTTTTCCACAAGGTTTAGAAGCTTCAAACAGCAAGGCATTTCAGCAAACAAGGATATAGTTTCATGTCAACAAGAGCTTCAAATACACATGATTTTTCTCACCAAAAGACCATAATTCCCAAGCTAAAAATCAAGGCTTTTTTGGAAAATTAAACAAGGTATATCCAAGAGTTCCAATAATCCACAATTTTCCACAAAAATACACCAAATAATTTTGATTTCTCCCAAGTCTCGAATGAGATCCGAACTCTTCAAAAATTGAACAAAAAAAAAAAAAAAAAAAAANAAAAAAAAAAAAAAAAAAAAAATAGAGGATTAAAGAATAATCTTTCTTCGGGAATCTACAAGGAAGGTTGAACACGAATTGGAAATCAATATCAAAGCCTCGGTTACTCGGGTGAAACTCACCTCATCTCGGTTCTCTTGGCAAATGATCGCGATGCACTTGGTTTGCTGCTCGTGGACTCGAAAGTTGCAGCAGCTGCTGCTCGTGGAGGTCTCCTCAATGCTGGTCGCGTATACTCGGCGGCTCGCGCGTGTCTCGGCAGGCGTGGGGTCGAAGGCTCGCGGCTGATTGTGCGTGGACTTGGTGTTTTCGTCGCAGGGAGGTATTTAGAGAATGGAGAAGATGATTGTTCTTGCTAAAACCGTGGAGAAATAAAGAATAATGATGGCCAGAAAAACAAAAACTTTGGCTAAAGAAGGCTCAAGCTTCGATTATTATTATTTTTTTTAATGTCATGAAAAGGTCTTAATTTGGAGGTTACAAACTCCATTCAAATCTGATTTGCTTTGACAAAAACAAGCATCTTAGACGTTTCATAAGAGGAAGAAGGGGAGAAAATTTACAAGAGTGAAGGCCCTCATTTAAAGTCTTCAAAATTGGGAAGTTACAAAATTTATTTGAATAGCTTAATTTCTTATGCAACTTCTAAGCATACATGGCCGAAAATGAAGGAATATATCAAAGAGGATTATTAGCAATAATGTTTGGTTTAAAGATGAAGGAGGAGGAGACGGTTTTCTTTGTCTCAAGGGGTTACAGTTCGGCTAATAAGGTAAGTATAGGATAGGATAGGATCAAATTCTTTGTGATCAAATGACTAATTCATGGTATTAAAAGGGAGGAGTTACAACTTTGAAAATTTGAATTCCCTTTTGCTAAGACTTAAGGGAATGGCCGGAAATTTGAACAAAAATGAACCTCATTTACACCTTGGGGGTTACACTCTTTATTTACGATGACAAAAATTAGGCAAAGCTTGCCTTAAAAAAATATCGACCAATTTGCTTATCAAAAGCAATACTAAGAATTTGGATTAACTAAGTAGACAAGAATATCTACTACAGAAATAAATTATTAGAAGAAAAATCATCGAGCAACAAATACTAAAAGAAATAAAATGCAAACACAAAGACAAAATAAATCGATTCTTATAAATCAAATGGGGCACTACGCACATTATGAGAAAAAATTAATTTTATTGACAACTTTGATATGTATATTATGATTTAAATACATTAAGTCTCAATGTTAAATTGTCAATCTATAAGTGTGGAATTGATATACATTATGAGTATAAGTGATATTCTTATATATTGGTGATGTATATAATGGATAATTGTAGTTGTTTGTGCAGCAACAAATAGCGTTCTCGTAAAATAGGGTAAATAATATTTTGCAACTTGTACTATTCACGTATTTAGGATTTGTAACCTCTAAATTTTTTTGTAATAAGTTGCAACCTGTAATACACAAAATGTCTATATCGCAACCTTCGATTATCGGCAATCCAATTTCTACTAAAAAAGCTAACGTGCGAAACGCGCGTACCGAATTTGAGGGGAGAAACGTCATTTCAATTAAGCTCCCTCTGAATTGAATTAAGGGGAAAATATTTGACAAAAATAAAATTAACAGAGAATTATCCTCTTTGCAAAAAAAATTGGTCTTAATGTGTTCAAGTTTCCGAACCATGAAATTTACGGCCATGTAGTTGGAATTTGTAAGGCTGAATCAATAGTGTAATCAAATTTGGTGGTGAAGGGACATTTACTATTCACTCTAGTTGCTACATTTGACAATTAAGAGAGTTTGTTGGAATGTGATCTACCAAGTTGGAAATTTGTGGAAGGACTTCCACCTGTCACCCGAACCAAAATGTTTGTCTTTGCATCTCATTGCCTCAAATCGTATCGTTTTTTTTTTCTTTTTTTTTGGCACTTCATGCATATGTAGAATTAAAAGAAAATTATCATTTGAAAAGGAACAATAGCATTCGTGCATCCAACCCAATAAATACAGTATAGCGCCCCGTTCGATTTATAGAATTTCTCGGATTATTCTATTTATCGAATTTTATTTATGAGATTATAATTATTGTATTGGTCACGAGGTCTACTTAAATTATATATTTAAATACTCAATCATTTTATTGTAAAACGTTCGTCGTTTGGCGATTTTCGATTAATCGCGTAAATCGGATCTAACCCGTTCGGATATTGGATTTTTTTTCGAATTGTTTTAAATATTGGAATTTTATTTATTATCTATATGCCTTGATTATGTGATTATAGATTATATTATTATGTGGATAATAATAATTTGATAAGTCATTCGAGTTTATTTCATCGTTCGACGTTCGAATTTTCGGTTTAATCGCGTAAGCTGAATTGTTGTCCGTTTTATTTTATTTTCGAACCTTCACGAACCGAGCCCCGAACCAACTCGACCAGCCCCTCATTAAGTGGCCTTCGGCCCTTTTTAAATGATTAAAACCGGTCCCTTATTGTTCAAAACCGAACTACCCTTATAGTGTTATATTATGGTCTTATGATGGATTTTTTAAATTTAAATTGTGTTAAGTGTTGGCTAGACTTTTGACCAAGTCTCTCAACACATTAATCACGCCATTTTTTCCCCTTAAGCTCGGTCATGAGCAGATTTTTTGGCAAGGAAAAATCTCCTCAATAGGTAAATATTAGTCCCTTCCTTTTTCTCTCCATAAAAGACATGACTTCTTCCCCTCACTCCTCTTCTTTCACTCCGCATCAAACCCTCATTCTCCCCTCTCTATCTCTCGTTTGAAGATAGCAGAAACCTTCCCTTAATCCTTAAAAAATCCGATCAAATCCATCGATTTCCCCATCATCCTCCATCACCCGCGCACGAAGGCCATTGCTCCCAGCCGGCGTTTTCCACTTCCGCACGCAAGATCACCACGACCAGGCCAGCCCCCTTGCTCAACCGAGGACGACCAGTAAGGACCCTGTTTGTCCCATTTTTGTTGTGTTTTTCCTTATTGTTATACTTATCTTTTTCTCCCGTTTTAGGTTGTTTCTTTCATTTTTAGTCCATTTTGTGTTTTATTATGTGTTTTACTTCATTTTGCGTCTTTGTGTGTTTTCTGTTTGTTTTTTCGGCTATCCGTGTGTTTTGTCGTTTTTGGTGTGCAGGTCAGAAGCCAGTGAGGAACATATTTAGCTCGAAAATGGCCAAAAATCATGGTTGGATAGATGGGTTCGTTGGTGATATATAAGAAAAAGCAGAACTCGATTTCAAGTTCGTACAAGTCCGAACGAGCCCAAAACACGAAGTCGCACGAAACATGTCTTTGGTGTGTTGGTCAAGAGCTTTGGGAGAATACAATTTCAAGTATAATTTGGCCATGCAAGCATCATTGAATACAGGGGTTCGTTAGCCACGCGTAGGAAAAAACGGAACTCAATTCCGAGTTCGGACGAGCCCAGACGAGCCCGAAACGCAAAGTTGCGGAGCCCAGTTTTTTCTTAGCGGCGCTAATCAATCATAGCGGCACTAAACCTGTCGGCAGACAGTGCGTTTTTTTTTTTTTCTTTTCCTCAATTTCTTCATGTTTTGGGGAGAGGGTTCGAGAGTGGAGCATTTTGGGAGACGACCACTTACCTGAAATATAGTTTTGGAGACTATAATAAAGCCTTTTCTTCATTCTCTCTCCCATCCATCATCTTTCTTCATCCTTCTACACCATTTTCTTCACCATCTTTCTTCCATTTTTCCTAAGTTTTTCTTAAGTTTGTATTTTGCTTTTCTTGGAGAACCTATTGAAGACATTGATGTATTGTGGATTAAGTTTGCATTTTCTTTTGACTTGTGGACTTCTCATTATTATTAAGTTATCCTTTTTATCTTGTTTATGTTAAGAATGGCTTATTTTAATGTAAGTGTTTAAGTTGAAATTGCTATGAGTAACTAATCCTTTAGCTAAGGTTAGGGGATAATCATCCGGTTCGTTCTCGTTTATGTGCATGACGATAGCTCAATCTTGACTAGTTGTTTTAATGAGGAATTGATAAAATCATGCTTGATAAATTGATATAACCTAAGAGTGACACTTAGGTTAATTTGTTGATATAATCAAAGAGTGCCACTTTGATTTGTGATTGAATATTGATTTGTTGGGTTAGAGTTTGATTAATTCTACATGATTAGTTGATTAAACACCCTCTAATCAAATTGTGACTTTTAGAACTGATAGGGGAGAAGCCGTAGAATAATCGATTTCAAAACTGAGAGGGGAGAAATTGATGGAACTTGGCTCGTTTAGAGTAGACATGTTCGGAGACGTAGTGTCTATGTGTTAATTGTTTCGTTAATTTGCTCTTTTATGTTTATCCTTATATTACGATAGTTAGTGAGGTTAAACCGCTAAATGAGTTAGTTAGTCGAGCCATTTAACCGAGTTATTGAATGCCGATAAATGTGTGTAGAACCGGAAGCGATTATCCCCGATACCCTAGCCCGTTTATATCTTGTTGAATTGCATTTGTAAGTGGTGATATTTTTTTTTTTCCGGAACGATAGAGGAATCTATATATCTCAAGAAAATTAAAGTTCGTACAGAGAGGGGAACCCCCGAATGGACCGAAACAAAAAACTGAGAGGCACACTAACGAAGTGGCCTAGAGCCTAAAACTAATAAGCACTCAAGTACAAAAAAAAACCCAAAGAAATGGAGGTCTAGCCACTGCCAAACTGCCTAGCATCAACCCCCTTTTCTAAAATCCAAACTACAAGCTAAAGCAACAAACAAAGGAAAATAACTACAGAAAACATCAAGAACTGAAAAAGAAACACTAAGCAACCAATCTTCAGAGTGGCCAACACCACTGCCTATGGGATGGAAGAGAACTCTTGCCATTCCTTATGAGCTACCTTACAGACAATGTGGGCTGGCATAGTAGTGGTTTGGAACAGCCAGAGGTTCCTGGATCTCCAGAGCCACCAGAGCATATATGTTGTTAGTTGAATCCTAGCCTCTGATGTGTCTGAGTTGTCCAAGGTGCAAACCTGCTGCCACCAGTGTTTGAAGGAGTCTTCAGAATGTGATATCCCTTCCCAGCTAATTTGAGATAATTTCCAGATATGTTGGGCCCTCGGATAGTGAAACAGAAGGTGTTCAATGGATTCTGGAGCCTTCCTACAATAAGAACAAGTAGTGTCAATCTCTACTCCTCTCTTGAATAGGTTCACTGAGGTGGGCAGGGTCCCAGAGATGCATTTCCAAATGAAATGCTTGAGTTTGCCAGGAATCTTTAATTTCCAACATCTGGTGAATCCTTTCTTCATGGAGTTTGAAGAGGAGCTGGCTTGAGGTTGATCCAATCTAAGCACTTTCCTGTGAGCCATAAAGGAGTAGGTGCTAGAGACAGTGAATACTCCCTTAGGTTCAAGTCCCCAGTAGAGTCTGTCAGGCCTATCAGGTTTGATTGAGTGAATATTCAGTATAGCTTGACTATCCTCTTCATCAAACACTTGCCTAATTAACCATTCATTCCACCCCTGGCCATGACTTAACATCAGGTCTTTCACCCAAATGAGATGATCCCTTGCTAACTCAAGCAGAACAGGCTTTGGTTTAGATAGATTAGGAACCCAGTTCAGATCTGCTATTCTTGTTGCAGCACCATCCCTTATTTCAGTTTTAAGCCATTGAGAGAAAACAGGTAATACATGCAGCCAACAATTCCATGTCCAGCAACCACTCTGAGTTCTAACAGCATGAAAGATTGAAGTATGTGGAAAATACCTATCTTTTAGGACTCTGCTGACAAGTAAGTCTGGTTGGGTAGCAATCCTCCATAGCTGTTTGCATATAAGAGCATCATTGAACAGCCTTAAATCAAAAAACCCCAGACCTCCTTCAGATTTAGGCAATGACAATTTATCCCAGCTTTTCCAAGGAAGTCCTGTTGTGTGTTGATCCCCTTTGTTCCACCAGAATCGACTGCAGAGTTTAGAAATCTCAGTACAAAGAGAGATAGGGAGTCTGAAGCATGTCATTGTGAAGACTGGGAGAGCCTGAATAACTGTTTTGAGGAGAGTTTCCTTCCCAGCAGTTGATAACAGCTTGGATTTCCAGCCCTGAAGTCTGCTTTTGATGGAGTCCAGAAGATAAGAAAAGACCTCCTTCTTTGTTCTGCCAATACCCAGAGGCAAGCCAAGGTACTTGGTGGATCTGTGGTTTTGAATACCATGCATTGCTCTGCAGATGTTGGATATTAAGGATTGAGGGGAATTTTTGCTGAAAAATATGCCTGACTTCTGTAGGTTGACCTTCTGCCCAGTGAAAAGCTTATATTTATCCAGAATGTTCATGAGGATGTTGGCTTGATCTACTCCAGCCTTGCAGAAAAAGAGAGAGTCATCTGCAAATAGCAGATGAGATAGAAGTGGCCCATTCCTGGACAACTTGATACCTTTCAGATGGCCATTAGCAATAGAATCAGAAATGAGTGCAGACAATAATTCAGCCACAACGATAAAAAGGTAGGGGGATAGAGGGTCCCCCTGCCTAATGCCCCTGGTGGGCTTGACAAAGCCATAGATATCACCATTAATTTTAAAAGCAAAGGTTGCAGAGGATATACAGAACATAATTAATTTAACAAAATCCGGGTGAAAGACCAGTTGAAGCATGATTTGCTTTATGCTGTTCCATTCCACTCGGTCAAAGGCCTTCATAAGATCCATTTTTAAAGCCATGAAATAGTTTGGGCCAGTGTTGTGCCTGTTGAGAAAGTGGAACACTTCTTGGGCAATTATAACATTATCAACCAATTGCCTCCCCTCCAAAAAAGCAGATTGACAAACACTAATGCAGCTGGGCAAACAAGTTTTCAGTCTCTGAGCTAGAATTTTAGATAAGATCTTATACACCACTGTACATATACTTACAGGCCTAAAGTTGCTCAAGATCTCTGGATTAGGGCATTTAGGAATAAGAGAAAGAATAGTATGGTTCCAGTATTGAAGAAGTTGCCCAGATTGAAAAAAACTCTTAATAGCTGCAATTAATTCCTGCTTAATGGTAGACCAGAAAGATTGATAGAAAAGTACACTCATACCATCTTCACCAGGAGCTTTTTCAGGATCCAGGCTGAATAGAGCTACCCTTACATCTTCATCTTCAACTGGCTTGAGGAGAGCCAGATTCATGTCAGCTGTGATGGATGGAGTAATGAGGTGGAGGATAGAGTCACCTCCCAAAGAACCCTCTGTGGAGTAGAGTGAAGAGTAAAATTCTGAGATGTGGGTTGCCAATTCTTGTTGAGAGGTGATGTATGTGCCTTGAGGAGTGAGAAGTCTTGTAATGGCATTCATTCTTCTTTTTTGGTTGGTATAGGCATGTAAGTGGTGATATTTAAGTCGCTTAAATTGAGAATTAGTAGTTGATAATCAAATCCTAACAATCGGATTAGAATATTTAGGATCATTTTCCTTTCTCGTTATTGAATACACGTACGACTTATTCCGGCTAACCTTCCTCGAGAGACACGACCTGGTGTTCGAGTCTTTTGATTCTACTCCGGTAAAATATATTTATAACAGACCCATCCTCCCCGTTCGCGATCCTCGACCACCGGAGACGATTGAGATGAGCCCGAGATGCGCAACGCCGTCCCCGCGCACACGTTGCCTTCTCGCTCCGTTTTCTCGTCTCCCCTGCGGAGTACGGTAATGGGTGGCTTACCTAGACTATTATTTTGATATATATATATATATATATATATATATATATATGTGTGTGTGTGTGTGTGTGTGTGTATATATATATGGCTGCCCTGATGTTTATGAATAATTCGTGTAATGTGCGATTATGTTTGATTGCCGTTTCACGTTCGTCTCATTGGGTTAATGTCGAAACTGAAGGACGTGGGTATTTTTCATGGAAACCCAGGAGTTTTGAGTGCTTTAATGTGTCCTTGACATGTTAGAAAAAGCCTCAAGTCGTTTCGATGCATATTCATTGAGTTATGAATTTTTAAAATAACATCTAAGAATCATTTCTCACCAATGTTTAATGTAAATATCATAATAAATATTTAAATAAAAAATCAAATATACTAATAAAAAGTAAAAACAAACAACGAAAATATAATGAGGTAAGTTATCTTATAATTTTAAGTATATACATTTTAATTATTATTTTTTACTTAACTACAACTTAATTCTAACCATTAGATATGAACTTTTTATTCTTTATTTAAATTTCAAATATCGAAAGATAAAATGATATAACAAAAATGGACCGATAAAAATTGCACTATTGAACTTATGACTTTGCATTTTTAAACTTTTAATTTGAAATCATTATCAAAATTTTTAGTTTTTAGTTGTCATTTGTAAATATGACTCTGATCCCTAAAAAATACGAATTTTTGAATATTTTATTGTTTAAATATCGTTGCAGAAATATTACGCAATGTATCGCACAATAACGTGAAATAGAGCAAAATAGCGTAAAAAAAAGCGTGTCATTTCAACATTTCGCGTAAGCTTTTCGGGAAAAACGTAAAATATAAAAGGCTACGTCGCGTTTTTTAGAAGAAAAAAACTATATAGCAAGCTACATAGCGAGTTATTTAAAACAATGGTTGTCAGCAAGTAGGTTCTAGACTATACTTTGTGTAGTTCTCCCACTTAAATTCAGCTGGTTGGTTGGCTTCTCAACTGTTTTGTTGTCTTCTAGTTTGTATTTGTTTGTAATTTCAATGAATTTTATCGTTTGAAAAAAAAAATGAATATAAAAGAACAAGAACAGTGAATCCTCGTGTAAGCTTAACTTTGGTGAATTACAAATAGCAATTCCTTTCCTAATTGCTTGCTATTATGACTTTACTAATTAACTAAATTAATAACTTCTTTCAAAGAGGGACGATGGATTATTTATATTTCATTTGATCGTAACTTCTTTCGGAGAGGATGATGGGTTATTTACATTTCATTTGATCGTCGGAGGCAAAATCCTTTGTACTACTTAACAAATTAACAAAGCGCGTCGCCTCTTTCAAAGATAGGACGATGGGTTATTTACATTCCATGTGATCGACAAAGGCAAAATCAGCAAAAATAAAAAAACGAAATTGTTACGATGAAGAGGTACTGTCTGCTACAAAACTGTTCTTCTCATTATTTTGAGGAACCAAAACAGGTTAGGTAACCAACACAAAAAAGAACTGCTCCTCAGAAGAATTCCAAAACTCCAGTTATCATGACAGGTGGTTCAACCTCGACCCGAACAGCTTTCCCTTCAGCAAGCAATTGAGGCAACGTATTTGCTTCTTTAGGCGCAACTCCTTGGGCAGTCCATAGCGTCACATGTGGCCACTCGTTTTTCGAAGTAATTTTCTCGCCATCAACCATACCTGGATCGGCCTCCAAAGCTGCCAATTTATCCGAGAATAACATTGCAACCACATTAACGGGTACATTTTGGTTGACATATGGGCCGTAACTAGCTACAGCAGTCACACCATGACTTCGCTTATGGGCCAGGGTCAAATGGGCTTTCGTGAGGATGTTTTTCAAGTTCTTGTCCTTGAGAAACCCTTCAACTCTAGGATCCTTCTGACCTAACTGATGAAGTAAAAACGTGAGATCTGTTAAAGTCGGAAAACCAAAACTGTGCTCCTCAAAGCTAACTAACCTAGAGTGATAACAAAAATTTCAATGTATCTTAAAGAAGTACAAAATTCACCACAGGTATTACAAACAATGTTCATAGTTTCAACATGTAAAATAGAAAAAACACTGTTGGTGCAATTTTGAAGAATAAAACTGGCTTTTGTGATTAGACTGAACTTCAAGGGTAGATAAAACCGAATCAATATGCCGATAAAGATCTACGTGCAGCCAAGGATAATAGTGAAAGCATATAGGGTAAGTATTCACTTACATCGGATAAGAAACCTAGGATGTCTGAAACTGGTAGACTGACAGCGGCAAAGACAATGGTCCCAAATTTACGTTTTTCCGTACTAGGCGCTGTATACTCTCCCTTAGCAATTGCTTTAAGTTGTTTGCGAACACTCTCAACGGCAGATTTAAATGGCACCTGCAAATATAAAGAGCGGGACTCAAAACAAGGTACAAGGCAAAAGAACTGGATGGTTTGAAGGTTTATAGGAGAGAAACGATGGTGTTAACACCTAGACGTCTTCATTGTCTAAACTGCGATCATGAACTTGAGATTATTATAACTTGGTATGTCCAAGAAACACTTGCCATTTTATTCACCTATCCAATTGTAGAATATGCAGGAATACAACAAATTTAAAGAGGCCGGTGTGTGGCTTGCTTTCATTCAGTGAGTAGGTAAGATCATATTATAGTATATTCCAGTTATAATACATAATAATAGTCATGCCTACAAGTTTGCTTCTGAACTTCCGAGCTCAAGTCTAGAGTTTAAGGACCGAAAAAATACAACCGTCTAGAAATAGAAAATTTGCTTCTGAACTTCCGAGCTCAAGTCTAGAGTTTAAGGACCGAAAAAATACAACCGTCTAGAAATAGAAAATTTTGCCAACATTAACCAAGGCTTGAAAAGCAAACTAAATGGTACTGATTCATAATGAAGAACGCTTGGAACAAAAAGCCATGAAACTAACCTGAATAGAATTGAGATATTCGGCATTCCCAAGTAAAGTCTCACGCATTTTCTTCTCCCAGTTGGCCCACTCCTTTGCATATGTGCCTTTAGTTGGCTCCATTCTACCAGAAATTAAAGAAACTTTGTCAACATAATGAGAAGTTATTCATCTTTATGATAGAGATCGAAAAGGCAATACGAATGGTCAGATAGTTTCAATAACAACCTTCCATGCCTTGTAGAATGAAGGTTATATAGATTTATTCCTTCCTCCAAAACAGACTTCACAGATTCAGGTAGAGGAGGCCTGCACAGGCAGAGAGAAAAACAGAAAAAACTGTAAGTCCTCAGCAAAGAGGATAAAAGGATATAAGCATGGCTTGTGTGGGGCCTTCAGGCATAAAATGCTGCTAAGACTGGGAAATGGGAAAGAGCTTCCTTTTGTTTATTTTAGCTATTATTTTTTCGGGTGAAGAGTGTTGGGTAGGCATATGAAGCTAACCATATTCATTACGAGACATTAAATCAAGTAATAAACTAATATAGCGTAAAGATCAACCATAGGAAGCAAAAACTGAGAGGGTAGGACAGGGATGGCATATAAAGACAAACCTGTTGCTTTCCAATAAAGGCATCTTCACAAGTGAGCCAAAACGATCTATTAGATCAGCCTCAAACTCTTTGCGGTTCTGCAAGTCGTAGGACAATCACACTATAAGATATTTACATAGGAGATATATACACCAAAACGACCTATACCAACAATACCTTGCCATCATACAAGTGGTAGAACATTAACAACACATATCCAGCATTTGGAGAAGACTTGTCAAGATTTCCCTTGAAAACGCAGAGGGAAAAAAAAAAGGAAAAAACAAAGAAACCGGCATAATTAGTTTTCACATTTCTGAGAACACTATGGATTGAATAGCCCAGGACTGAAGTAGCTTAATAGATCATTACTGGATGATTAACGCGATGAAGAACTCTGTAAATGAATACAGCAAGGGCATCAAGAGAAAATGCATTTGATTCAGTCCCTGCATATTTCTCCACACGTAAGCCATTAAACAGAGACACAATGTGCATATAAATAAGGGTTACAGTTATAACATGACATGATTATGTATTTTTTCTGAAGATATCACAATGAGGTATGGACAAGCTAAACATGTTTTCACAAAGGATACATGATACATCTAAGAAAATCATATCAACAGATAAACAAAAAATACGGTAAATATGATTTCTCAATGAACCTAACAAGGATTTCCATTCGAAACATATGGGATGAGCAAGCAATCAAAAAGCTCACAGAAACATGCAGTCATCAAATCAAATCAATACAGAACGACACTATAGCCAGCCACATATGTCATTTTGTCATGCTATGCAACAGAGCACCATTAGTACTCAGATCTCTAAAACTTCCAAGGCCACATAGGGGCTGACACATAATGTGTTCTTAGTAAAAAAAAAAACTTCTGGCATGTAATGTTCTTGGTCAATATAACTGTATAAGTTGTTAAAAAGTAAAGAAATCAGAAGACAAGTAGAAACTAAGTGGGCCCGTGGGAGAATTTTTGGAAAGGTTAATAACATCAATGAAACAACCTTCTGAATCTGGTACAACTGGTACTGCAGACGATTTTGTGCTACGACACATGTTCTCAATCTGCAGATAATTCCAAGAATGAAAAATAAACCAAGGTAAGCATCTCACCGAAATCCTGACGAGAACATCCCTCCCATCCCCAATCCCCAGATTTCTCAATGTAATAATATTATAGACAATCTTTGATTGGATAAAACCAACTCATTTTGCATGAAGAATAACCTCAATCCCAAAAATCAGAAACACTATGCAGATCCCATTGCACCATTCCCTTAGGGGAGCTTATGAACACAAGAGAAAATAAAAACCTGTGTCCAAACATCTTCATTTGGAGCATTCTTGTCAGCAAGCAGAATAGAATACGGCTTCTTGCGACGCTCGTCAGCAACCCTCGGCCAATATCTTCCTGTCAGATCAAGAAAACAGTATGGCAATAAATGACAATCTCTTGGAGAAAATAAGGTCACTGATAATTAGACCATTGTTAAACTCTGTGGTTGAAAAGTAATCACAGGATCATTTTCTGCTATGGACACATAATTTGCACTTTTGCAGCATGTGTATTGCGATTGAAAAATAACCACAGGACCATTCACTCCCAATACAACCACTGGAACTAAAGGACAAATACTCAGTGAGGTTTTTAAGAAAATGTGTTGTATAAAGAAAAGCTATAGCAAATACATTTACCACACACATATTATATCAGAACCAATACTTAATGGTTGGTCTACTCTCGCATAAGTGTTCTGAAGGTTCTAATGGGTACACGAATTGACTTCCAATTATTTCAAACAGAGAACTTGTTTTCAGACAGTTTCTTAAAAAGGAAATGATTTTTGTAGTTGAACTACTTGAGAGAAAAAATATTAACAGGACCGAGTGAGTTGAATAATTGCAAATTCCATGACATATACCAAGCTAGTAATATGGCTTAACGACCATCCTCAAAAGAAACAGCTAAAGAAAGCAAAAGATCCATGCAACATATTTAAATCAGATAATTCTTGCTTGATTAGTGTAGATCCATGATGGCTGCCAAGTACCATTTGATAAATATTTGCTAGAATGGATAATCGTTAACTGAATAATTGCAGGCAATGTATGGGAGAAAACTATGAAATAAAGAAACATGAAAAAATCAGCTCATACCTTTGATGAGATCACCCATCAAACTACGGACTGGACGATCATCACCAAGTCCTCCAGGAGCACTCAGTAGTTCTTTACAAAGGGCTGACTTAGCACAACCAGGAATTCCTAAAATAGCAAAGATCTAGGTTATAGAAATAACGAGTCTCAATAAAGAAAACAAGACAAGCATCAGAGCACCAACACATACAAACAATGATACATCAGAAGCACGTGTTCCTATCCATGTATTTCTCAGGTATTGGGAAAGCTGGAAAAGGTATCAAAAGTTGCATGTACCATGCACACGGTGGATTCATAATAAATGTCACTAGTTAAGAAACCATATATGCTATCACTGAATGTGTTCAAAAATTACAGTGAGTTCTATGGGACTGATAAATGGGTTTGGGTAGAACTCATCCTCAAAAGGTAGCTCAAAGGGAGAGGGTACCCAACCACACTTGTACACAATAACAGCCCAGTAACTAATCGTTGTGGGACAAAATAACTTCTAACACCCACCCTCACGCACAGCGTGCCAAACCAAATGGGTCGGGTCCAAACCCAACATTGCCTCCAAACAAACAAAACCTAGGTGCTCTGATACCATGATAAATTGGCTTGGGTAGAACTCATCCCCAAAAGCTAGCTCAGAGGGAGAGGGTGCCCAATCCATGACAAACATAACTTCTAATATGGACAAATAAAAAGTCTAAAAAGTCAGAACCATGATATGACTAATGCATTGATATAAAAATTTGTTGTTTATGTATTCACAAACAATAATCATTTTGAATCCCTCTCTATCTAACTCTTCCTCATTTCCTCATGCAATTCAAAGATCAAAATAAGGTTGGTGGATCTATTTGTTAGTCTAATTTTTGTTTGCCTAATTTTCTCAAGCGCTGTATTTATATATCCTTCAAAACAAGGTTTCATAGTGCCTTCAGATACAATAAGAGTATAATAGGTTTGCAATTTTTTCTTTGATTTTGCAGGAATATCCTTAGTGAAATATTTTTTTTCATACAAAGAAAATAAATACCTATGTCAAAACCAGTTTCCTCAATGACTTTATCTCTTATAATTAGACATTCATGAATACCAGGTTTCTGTAACTCTTAATTAAAGTCCAATAAGTAGTTTTAGGAACTTGTTACAGGTAAAAGGAACTACTCAGAATGCAATTGTTCAGTAACAATCACATTGTCAGCCTTCGGTTCTATTTTCTTCTCTAAACAATGCAATCACAGTGCTGAATATTATTTCATTTCATTTCATTCCACAGAAATGAAAGAAGTAACCTAAGCACAGGAAAGGGTGGTGGAAACTAGCACAAGTCTGTACCTGGAAAGAAAACAATGAGTCCTTCATCCTTCCTGATAGCTTCCTTCACTATGGTAGTTGGACTTGAGGGCATATCTTTCTCTTGATCAAGATCACCTTCTTCGTCTCTGCCTCCATCAATAAGGGCCATAAAATCTTCAGATCTCACCAAACTTCCAGCAGATCCTATCAGAGTCTGATTTTGTGGGCTGCGCTTAGCATACTGTTCAAGGAATGGCTCAGCTTCACTAAGGTATGTAGAGGAAGAGAGCTGCTTGTTTCCATATTTTCTACGAATAAATACAGCCCTTGACAGAGACCAAAAGAAATAATAAATACTGCATCAGTATTACAATTTAAAACTTCTAAGGGAATCATGCACGGAAAATTCCAGGTAATACCATTCATCCAGCATCTTGGTCAGCTCTCTTTGTTTGGTAGTTGAAGTATTCCATTTCTGCATTTGCCTAGTAAATGAACATATAACAATCATAGGTACATGAAAAGAACAAAACAGAGATACTAGTCGTCTTTGGTCTCTAAAAGCTTGATAATTTTCACAAATTCTCCTATATTAAAAGATAGAATACAACAGACAAATGAAAAAAGGATGCAACATTATAATCTAGTAAGACAGCGTTATTCTTTAACGCAGGTTAATGCATAAGTTCCTTGACGTAAATGAAATATATACACACACTTGGAAGTCATAGCAGAAGGTAGGTCATAACCCACTATTGCACAAGTTTATGTACATGAATAATTGAATATTATATCAAGCTGAAAAATAGTTTAAAAATAGTAATGCTGGCAAATCCAGGTGAAGTCTTCTAACATATTTCTTTAAGAGTTGGAACCAGGATTATTCATCGAAACAATGCAAAAGTTATCAAGAGAGAAAAGACGTAATCTTTAGATTTTTCATATTGAACAACTTGGACAAAATTGCTCAGTATCATTTTGCACATACAACTCTGCCAGTGTAGGGCCTTTTGAGAAGCTTACCTAAGGTAGTAGGCCTTATAAGCAGCTGGACCTTGTTTAAAAAGAACTTGCAAGCCATTCCGAATCAAGAAAGTCCTTAACTGCACGTTAAAAATAATAAGAGAATATAAATGGTTGTTTTTTTTTATAAATGATCCTTTATCACCCCAGAACTCGGTGGGCATAAATAAAATACATGTAATTCAAGCATTATATAACAAATAAAAGATATAAATCCAGAGAGGCAACAAAAACATTATAATTCTCTGGTACAATTTCAGACTTTGCTGCACTGCTCCAGAAACTAAAATTCAACAAGCAACATACTTCATTGTGGTATTAATCAACTGCCAACATCACCGAACAAACTTAATGGCGGAAGATTTTTCAATAATACTTGTAGGTCTCAACACATGACATAGAATGGAACCAGTTACATAGGTTTAGCAGACTGACTCATTTCAATCTGTGCATCTTGCCTAACAAACTTTAGTAAGACCATCTGTGCGCGTCACTTGCAAGTTGCAGCAAAATTAAAATATATCACAAGGAATCTTACATAAGATTCAACCGCTAAGAATATGATTGACATTCTATCATATGAAGTGCAAAAGACTAAGTTATATATAAAAGCAACTAAAAGCATTGCAAACCTTATATGTGAGGAACTTCAACTTGATCATCAAATTGGCATCTTCATCAGCTAAACCATCTTGGGCAGAAGAACCATTTGTGCCACCACCCACATTGATTTCCGGGGAGAACTCCGTTGTACTCTCCTTAGTATCCTTGAATAAGTTCAGGTCCACAAAAAACCCTGAAAAGGCAAGAAAATTAGAAGCTGCTCTCCAAAATATTTCTAATTTACAAGCACTGGAAAAAAGGAAATAAGGAAAGACAAATGAACCAAATAAGCAATCAACACAATGAAATAATGACAGCTAAACATATATATAATAGCATGTTGTGCATAAAGAGCAAAAACACGAGAAACATGAAGCTGTATCTCAAAATAAACCCAGACTAAGAACACTGACCACAGAATACAAAAAATTATGGCGACGACCTCAGATATATAAAAATAATAAAAAATAAAACAAGAGAAGGCTATGACCCAAAAACACACTTCATATTAGTTTTCTACGTTCTCACTGAAGCCCCACATATGCATCATAGTATATGAAGTTCAGATATATAAATTGTGGTGACGACCTCTGATATATAAAAATAATAAAAAATAAAACAAGAGAAGGCTATGACCCAAAAACACACTTCATATTAGTTTTCTAGGGTTCTCACTGAATCCCCACATATGCATCATAGTATATGAATTTCTCCGTGATGATCCATACATAATATTCAAGAAATTAAGATGATCAAAGAGAGATACATCCTCTGAATTTACAAATAAATTCACATACCTCGATATAGTGGCCAAAGTCCTGGGTTGTGCCTGCAATATGAAATCTTTCATAATAAAAATCCAAAGGAAAGGTAAACTTCATGCACAATGCTAAAATCTGTCACATATGCACGAAGGAAGCCAAAGATAGATAGGGGGACATCGAAAGGCCGACCTCATCTCTTTCTGGTACCGTCTAAAAGCAGAATCAGCATGAACATGAATAACCATCTTAAAATGAAGATCATCACTTGCCAGAGAGTTGATTTTGTGAAAGTTGTGATAACACTTAAAAGAAGCAGGAAAGCGCTTTTCCTTCATCAGACGAATCATTTCCTGATGCAAGTGGTAAATATAAACTAACATCACTGAAAAGATAAAACTTGGATAGCAGATTGCCAGAACACTCCAGCATAACAAAGAAATAACAATAAATCATGCAACCAACGCAATAACTATTAGTCCTCTAGTCTGCAAAGGAGAGTACATCGCTTAATAAAACCAGGAAAATCATCGGCTAGGAGATAAATAATGGTCCAACCTTCTATCCCCAGGATCATGAACTAAAATTTCAAATGTATTGGCTTGAAGAAGTACCAACACACTTTTCCCATAAGAAAAATTAAAAAATTCACCACACCAAAAAACAGCAGGAAGCAACAATAATGGGAGCTTGCCTGTAATTTTGTCGTGGAATAATCTGCAGGGCGTGCTTGAAGAAATTTTGACACGACAGATTTATCGGCGTTTCTTGAATGGCCTTCAGATGCACCAGTCCCAAACCAATCGGCATGATTTGGACAAAAAGAGGTACCAACGCTGTCGAGAAGTGCCTTTATTTGCTGTAAATTATAAAGGGAAAAAAGTAAATAAAAGAATATAAATTCGCAGAACAAATTATAGATACTACAAAAATTAATGTATAATATATATAACACGCACCTGCTTCTCATCGATTCTATTCGCAGCGCATATTTCCCTCAAGCTGGATCCTGACTCAGCTGATATACAATTGACAAACACAAATAAAAATATCAAGAGTAAAACCAACATCAAGAAAGGTACAGAAAGTCATTATCAGCTGTGAATGTAAGGGGACGAAAAATAACCGGGGATCATGCATTGACAAGGAAATGAGAAGACCAACAACAAGGTCGCTCTTGGCATTAATATGTGGAAGAGGAAAAATAAATAAATTTCCATCTCTTACGATAAACATCAGGATCATTCTTTCCGGTCAACTAGTTATCCTTACGCAGTTTTAAATAAAAGAAGGAAAGCTTCAGTTCGGTCGCACCTATGCATACACACATTTAGACACCCCCATACATGCACACACAAACTCAACAAACAATCCACTCATGATGTTAAATTGCATCATGAACTCTTGACATTTACCGACTCCCCAAAATGATAAATCAAATCAAGATCTCAAAATGACTTAAAGCAAGATAGTTAAAGAAGTATTAGAAAATGATGACTCAAAATTGAATGCTTATCCCGCATCATTTTCTACGTGACACAGTTGGTAAGAGTCGCTGCAAAATAATTGATGCCTGCTTGTAAAAGCTTAAGTTGATGCCCGATAGAGATTAAAGTTCAAGTCTTCAAGAGTTGCATAACATATTAAATAGTCTACTACACTCCCACCTGCCCTCACAGCACATGCTCTTCTTTCCTCTGAAGACCTAAAAAATTGCGATGTTTTTCCCTTCTTCATGATTTTGAGGTGTAGTGTGTGTGCATGGTTGAATAGGGTGAGAGAGTATTGGAAGACCTTCTATTTGATGGGGATATGCTATTATATTCATAGTTACCTCTTTACAATCACAAATGCTCTTTTATAAGTGGCAGATGCAAGTTGTATCATAGACACTCTAAAGGAAACTAAAACTGACCCTATGTAACTTATGCGATGGAGCAGAAGATAATAACCCCTAAATTCTCTTCAAAGCTTAATACCACTAATTTATGAACTCTATTGTACTTGATCAACAGCTTTAACAACCATTTTTATGAAAGTGCATGGTCCCTTGGATTATTTTCTGCAGAAAAGAAAGATTTGAACAAAATCTTCTTACCTCCCTCCATTGGTGGCGGCAGAGGATAGTCCTGTAAAACCTGCTCCAAATGTTCTGAGCTATCGCGGCTCACAATCCGAGCCACCAGACCTTCCAAGATTTCACCCTGCACCTTTATATGATCTTTTGATCCTGCAGGTAAAATGACAGAGGTTGGCTTTGGCAAGCAGGCAACCGTATTTTATTATATACATAAATAACCAAGTTATGGTTAGCCATTAACAGGGACGAGTGCAGGCAAGAAGTATGACATACATAACAAAATTATAAACTGCATGGTAAACTACATGGTTATTAGCCGATAAACTCTTGGTATCTGATTCTTAGATATTAATTTCAGTGGACAACTGACAATAATCTTATCAACGGAATAACAGGCATTCAGGATACAAATTCTACTATGTAACTGATTCAATGGTAAAGGATGTGGTGAAGATGGAGAAATCCACAGAAGAACATAAAGAAAAAGACAAATCATGCATGACCCCACATTGTAAGCAAAGGATGCACACATCAAGATGCATAACAATTCACTGGAAGCTCCTCTGACTGATAAAAAGATGGCGTAAAGGTAGCTTAACGAACAAGCTCAGAAACAGGTGAGGTCAGAAGAGTACATCTGTAGAAACTGACGCTTCAAAATATCAATCAACATCAAATTCAGTCAAATTAATGAAATCATACTCATCAGCTGACAAAAAATAAAACATGATAATTTGACAACTTCTGCGGAGGCCACAAATGAAATGTAAAATTCCACTTAGTATCAAAATAAAGTTACCGGGTACAGATATATCTGCAACTTCATCAAGTGCCTTACATACAGAAGAGGCTATTCCTTCCTCACATAGAGCATCAAAAGCAGCGAAAAATGATGCTGCCGACTTCCTGAAATGGAGGAACAATGTAACAATGCATAAGACAACCAGAATTCAGTGTGCAGCACAGGGCTGCGAACATCAGACAGTTTTCTAGACCTCCACGCTTATGCTGTAATAACACTACCATTTCCCATGTTTAGAGCACCTCCAATTTGTCAAAAAAAATAACGAGACACAATATTAACCAAGAAATTTTTTTTGCTCTATAATATATCACATGTTCTTGTCCAGGGGTAAAAAGAATTAGCATAATCGATTTCGGATACCCAAAATCCTCCAGAAGGGTCAAACATTGTCAATTGAGTGAGAAAACAGCTAGCAGGTCAAAAACTAAAATTCACCTTGTTGAGAATAACCACACATGATTGGTTGGCAGACGCCATTTTCTGCAAAAGGCAATAATCTCAGGAGTGGAATAGAATTTTGGTTTTCCACAGCCCAATTCTGTGATTGCAGTCACAACCGCTGCCAACATGCAAAATAGTTCAGCAATATGCATGCAGATAAAACCTTTTACAAATATTAACAAGAAAGTCGAAATTGAATTCATTATTACATTTCATACTTTCAAAAATCTACAGGCATATATAAACTGAATGGTAAGCCAAAACGGGCAGCAATAATACGTCTTTCAGACCACGTGTGGCAGAAAAAAGTTCGTTAGCTCCCACCCGATAACAATATAACCAGAGAAATTTTACAGCTTATTTGCATCAATATTCAGAGTATGTGTTAACTTGAAATCTTGAACAAGAGTTATCATATATAAATGGCCTTCTACTTATTTGAGGGAACTGCGTGATAAAAGAACATTTTTTCTCATTTATAGGAACTGGCTAGTACAGCTACAGCTGAATAAGGATTGTCACGAAGAGAATCAAATAAAATTCCTGAATATGGTGCCACGAATTGTACAATTAGCAAAGTTGGCGTTCACTAGGCGGCAAGCTGGGGCCTAGGGCCTAGGGCCTAGACAAGATTGTAAATTATTGATCAATTTATTTATTTGATCATAATAGGTAATTCACAAGACATTTTATATGAAATATAATAATCAATACGGTCAAATAAAAAGATTGTCCAAAACATATATTATTCATAACAATTTTACTATTTCACATGATTATTATTTTTTCAATTTTACAATATTGTCTATCCACGTCGGTGTTATCGATGGTGGATTGAGGCGAGCCAAAAAAACACCATATATATGGTGGATGGCGTGGCGGAAGACATGGACTAATATATATACATAAATATATATATATATATATATAAATATATATATATATATATAAATATATATTTCTTATGTATACTTATACACCATCACACATATCTATACGTGTATAACTCCATCATAAAAGCTTGAAACATGTCAATAAATACATAATAATAACATTAGCTACATAAGGTTTTGAGAAATCAAAGCAAAAGAAATAAGTAAAGACTTTAATAATAAAGGACAGCCAAAAAGAGTTTTTTAACAAAAGAAAAGGCTGAAAATAAAAACAAGTACATGAAGAGTTAAAAGAAGGACAATAAAGAAAAACTGAGATTACTTTTTTATTTTATGTACAATAAAGATAGATTAAAACAAATAATAAAAAACTGAAAAAGATATAGGCAGCCAACTTATTCGGCAGCAGCAAATGCTGCTTACAAAATATTTTCGTTATGTTTTATTAAATAAAATAACTCCTCCCCAAGCAGTGCCTGCGGTTGCAAAAGGAAATTGTACCTTTTTTCTAATTTTTTAAGTTCAAAGTGATCTCGGAAATAAAAAGAGCACAAAATAATGGACAAGAGAGAGAGAGAGAGAGAGAGAGTAGAGAACAGGAAAAAGGACAAAAAGGAAGAGAGAAAATGAGAAATAATGGTTGACGGAGGTTCAATCGTCGGAGCACAGTTTGACGAAAGAAGGGCTCTCTTCACCTTTCACTTTCTCACAGAAAGCAGCAATTATGGTTGGCCAAGGTACAAATCTATTAGAAATCTTGGCTGATTTTGGCAAATCAGCCAGGCAATTACTTTTCCTTGTATTTGAGATCATGGAAACGGCAATTTCTGCCATCAGCGCCCCACCACCATGCTTATGGCGGCCACAACGGGGCCACTATTGCAAACACGTCACAAGGCAGTCATTATATGACAGCCAGGCTAAAATCCGTCACGCCATACAACCATGGCCGCTATTTAACAACACAATTCATTAATAAAAATCAGAATTTATTTTGTTTATTTTGAAAATAAATTAGAAAGTGTGAAAGTAATATACACAGGAACCTAGGCAACGCCTAGACCACCTAGGACTCCAACTAACCCACCTAGACATGGTCAACTTCACAGCCACCTAGACGGCGCCTAACTACCCGAGCAACTAGACGAGCCGCCTAGATGAGGATCGGGGCGCATGGGTGCCACGGGCGCGTAGTCCAATTTTTAGAACACCGATAATTAGAAAAATGATTCTTAAGCATTTCAGCAGAATCTTCAATCTTCAACCAGTTTCAGAAATTATTCACGAAAGGCATATCTTCATGAAGGTGAATTAAGGAGTAAATAAATATTATTGTTATCCTCTTACCATAATCTTCACGAGGACGTTGTCCATGATCTCCCAGTACTGCTGTAACCAGCTCCATGGATATGCACATGCGATTACGCTACAGCAAAAAAGTAAATTTTACTTTGAGACCACAAGGAGAAACCATTAATATAACTTATATGAATGTTCTGCACCATGCATGTGTGGATCGGAACATTTTCACATGCCCATAAGTGTATCTAGAATCTCATATGTTACTGTATTAAGTGTATCTAGAATACTGAAATTCGTATAACGATGCATCCGTTAAGGCAAAAAAAGTGGGCAACTTTAAACATATCTAGGACAAGGGATAAACGATCTAACAGCTACATAAGATAAGAAGTCTATTTTTTTTTTTTAAATCGTTGAATCACTACCGATCACCAATGTGTCTCAAATGTTGGCAAACAAAAGAATTCTGAGAAACTTCATCGACATAACTTAAGTTATAACAAAAATCATTCTCTTGGTATTTACCTCAAGGAAGTCATTGAATTCAGCTTGCTTCTTGAGGGCTTGTGAACCCCATGCTTCACGGAACATCCGTCCAAGTACAAACACCCCAACAGCAGAGTAACTGTAATATAAATGGAATTATAAGCTGTAGTGTATAACAGAGAATGGAATGAAAGACCTCAGATCACCAGCTATTTCTTCTTATGTTAAGGCATAATGCTTGTGTAATAAATAGTGGTTCAGATACATAGTCTGTGTTTCTGAATAGTTAGAGACGGAACATAGTTAATTTAGTGTCAACTTACATCTTAATTTTTTCTTTTAGCTTAACTACTTATTTTCACTAGAGTTTGACTACTCTTATTTGTAATGTTAACAATTTTAGAAATTCCCGTCAACCTTACAACATTCTTATCTTGGGTGTCATCTTCTTTCTCATCTACTTTGCATTTATTCCTACTTCAATTTATACTACAAGGCCCACCACCAATATGAAGAAGGTTATGGAACATAAGTATCAGGACTTACCCAAACAACAGCAAATGTCCTAACATAATATTTGAATTTTGTAATTATTCCATCACAAACAACTGGTTCTGAGTCACACAGCCAATTATTCGAGTACGTGACTGGGCGAATCAAAGAATCTTAAATAATAGTTTGAAAACAAAATGCAGTCACAGTCATCTCCTACAATCACCAGAAACAATATCTAAGCAGCTGTAGTCAGTATTTGCAGTCATCTGCATCACTGAATCTAATGATAAATCTTTAAACAAAAGTTAAAGACCAATACGATAATCTAGGAAATGAGATTTATTGGATATTTTTCATCATCATGCTTGTGAGACTAAAAGTTTGTTGTTTAATTTAACTGGAACTTCGTAATAAATTTCTACAACTGCCAAGGCAAAAATGGTCCCTGTCGCTGTAATAGAGTGTGTGGATTAACAGGTTTGACAAAAAGCATTGTTTTGTCTTGATATCAAAGCAATTACATTAAATAATTACCATGAAATAATGAAAAGGAATGTGAACAAAAAATATTTGAAAAAGCACCAAAATCCTTTAAAAAAGGAAAATAAAAAACAGAGAAAGAAAAAACAATGAAAAAGGAGGATGCAGGGGCCCATTAAAGATGGACTTACATATTCCCATAGCTGTTCTTTGCATATGCTCCACCTTCATGTCCAGCGTACATGAAAAGTGAACCAGAGTGTTTGAGTGAAACCTGTTAATTACCAAATGTTAGGGGGAGGAACGATGAAAAAAACGATTGCGCAAAATGATAAGGCAATATCATTAAGCTAAAGCAAGGAACAAAAAGACAAGCCAATAATAAATGAATTATAAACCATAAATTGTTCTGTACCAAAGAGGCAGAAGAAAGAAGTGGAACAAATATGCCATTGGCCTACCTCCAATGTAGCTAAGCCTTTGGATACCATCTCTATCATCCTTGTTCTAACCTGCGACATAAACATTTAAAAAGATGTTGAGCAGGTTAATCTCAGCACTCAAAACAATCTTGTTTCCGAACATAAAATCGGTTTTCCGTTGCTGAAGATATTACAGAATGACACAATAAAATTTTCACAAATATCTAATAACTGGTGACAAGGCATTAGACCATAAAGTTCACTTGAAAAAATGAAACAACAAATTCGTGCATGGGAGTGGGACAGCCTTACCTCTTGATCAGACTTCTCATTCTCGAACTTCGGATAAAAAGTTGCTCTAACTTGCGCACGCGAGTATGTCGATTTGTCCACCGTGAAATTCTCCAATAGTTTACCACTAAACAATTCATTGATGTCAACTTTACTTTTCTCGACGGGCTTCGTTCCAGATCCATGGTCGAGGACTTTCGCCTGATCAGCTGGTGTTTTCTCAGCTACCGTTCCATATGACCTAGGTTTCCATAGGGCTTTCTGTCCGTGAACAGGTGCATGACTTGCCATACCAATGCTTCCAAACTGTATCGATGGTGGTACTGACACAACAACATCATGCTCTTTCCTGTTTGCTGCAGCACTCGAAGTGTTAAGCCTGTCAGCAACAGCTTCACTGTCTGCATTTGAGAAACCTCCCGTCGCCGATGATGAGGTAGACCGGTTACTGGGTTTAGGCTTCTCCACCCATCGTTGCTCTTTAGAACCTCCCCTACGCTGAATTTCATAAATTTTAATCCAATTTCCACCAAAGTTGGTTTCCAATGTGAACAGAATTTTAGTAATATTTAGATTTGAAACGAGAAAAACACCTCGTAAACGTCATGAAGGGGAAAAAGACTATGCCAAAAAAATATTCACATTCTTATGCCCCAGTAAACGAAATACCAAGCATAGAAGTAAACACTTGGTAGCCAAATTACAAATCGCTGCATTGAGGACTACCAACATCAGCAGATTGGTGATAAATGCTTGAAAATAAGGAAAAAAAAAGTATGACCAACAATAACTGAACACCTAGACAATACACAATACAGGATCACACATGATCATCAGACAACAGCCTTACAAGTAACATTTCGGCAAACTAGGCTCCACGGGATGAAAAATTCAATTATTGCCGAACAATAGCATAATATCTTGCATATCGTAAACACAGATATACTGGAAAGCCAAAGAAAAGAGTAACGTTCACAGAAGCATATCAGCGAAAAGGCAGGGCATGAAACTCACCTGGTTGCGAGGCATGGTCAAGAGAAGGCTCGAAACGCGAGTGTGAGGCAGATAACAAGGGCGATATAAAGAAAAGCTTCTGAAAGAAACGGGCGGAGGAGTATTCAACACACGAGCAAAATCGCCAACGAGTCTCAAGGAAACCGACATTCAACGTAATAGCAAGCTGGTGAAGCTATAGGGGAATCAAGGGGGGCTATAAATAGACCAAAAGAAAATACAGATTAAAAAAAATGCATATAAAAAATCAAATCCAATATTGGGAAAGAGGCATGAGATTAAATCCTAAATCACCAGCCTTGTCTTGTTCGTCTCTACAGTAAAAAAATAATTTGAATTTGAAAAGTAAACCTCACTGTGAATGTGACCGTGCGACGCCACAAACTCCTCAGACACTGGAAAATTGGAAATCTACATTATAAAATAATAATCACAAGTTAATAAACGCGTATTTTTATGAAAGCCAAAGCAACAAATGAAATAATAGTTTGGGACATTGCAGAAGTGGGGAAAACAGCCACAGGTTGTATTATGGGGCTGAAACCAATTGTTGACAAACAGTTGTAGGGATTGTTTAAAAAACAGGAAAAGTAAATTAGGGAGAACAAAGTATTTGGGCATAATCTCTTGGAAACTCGTCTCTCTCCCACTCCCTATCAGTTTCCTGAAATTGGGCGACAGAAAAAATGTACAAAACGCTTACTCAAACACTGAAACACAGAACACGCACCACACGCGAAGGCAGGCAGGCTCGGCGGCGTTGTGCGGATTTTGGGAAAGCGCCGTGCTGAAAAATGGATGGGACAAAACGCATATTTGTATTGGTAGCTACGTGCTTTAATTTATTTTCGGAGGTGATTTCATAGGATAAATCTCTATCAGATAATCCCCATATCTTATATTTACTGGGAGGCTAATCGCCGTGCAGCGCACGGCTGAGGCCATGACCTAGTATATTTTATATAATTTTTTGTTTGTCTATTTTTATATATTTTCTAGATTTTATAATCATTTTAAAAAAGTATATTGCAATATATTTTGGCTATTCCATTTACTAGTGCAACACTCATATATTATACGGGTATTTGTTAGAAAATTTATTTTTAAAACTAATGAGAAATAGTGTGTAAAATTTAAGTGCTTTTTTTACGAAACACATATATTATTATATATTTTAAAATAGTATTTGTTACTTGTGCAACTTACATGTGTTACATTATTATAATAATTTATGTAACTTATACAGTGACGGATCTAGGAATTTTATTCAAGTGAGTCCAATTTCAAATGTTAAATAACAAATTTATAATTTAAGTCGAAACACTCATTTCATATAAAAAGTATTTGCTATAAATATAAATACTGAAATATGTATTATCAAGTTTTTAAAAACTTAGAATCTATATCACCCTCAAACTTTAAATATATATATATATATGAGATTTTATGTATTTATAATTCAAATTCAACATCTATAACTTATGAAAAATTATGTTTTTTAGTTGAAAAAATTGATATAAATTGTACTATTGCAGCATATTGCATAACACTTTTGTTGAAGAAAGTTTAACAAATGAACATTTTTTAAGAAATATAATGAAGCTAAAAATATGTGATTAAATAAAGAAAGTAAAAAATAAATATTGAAAAATATAACAATCCAACCAAATACTCGATTTTATAAATCACTAAATCTATTTACAATTAAGAGACCGAATGAGTAAAACGTTATAAACATTTTCAAAAACTTATCTAAAAATATAAAATATAAAGGTTATTGGTACATTTTTCAATAAATAAATAATACTATTAATTTCAATTAAAATAGCATAGAAAATAAATTTTTATTAATAATATATTGTAAATATTTTTTGCATTTTTATATATAATATATAATGGGGTTCATGGCCCCCTCTGGGCCCCATGTGGCTCCGTGCCTGAACTTATATCATATAATTATTTCAAACATAAATACATTAATTGATAAATAATTTTATTTTTTAAATTAATATATTAATTGATAAATATTTTATATTTAAACTTAAATAATAACAACAACAAAACCTGTTTTAGTTTTTCAAATACTTTTTGAAAAAATATGTTATTCCCCTTATATATTAATTCAAAACGTGCTGAGGCTAAGTGACAGACTAATACGCTTTGGAATCCTACATGTCACAATATCGTGCTTTGTATTTAGGTTCGGATAAAAAATTTGGAAACGAAATTGGCTTGGAAAATGCCATAAATAATTTTTCCACCATGCATCATTGCTTCCCACCAATCTCTCTTTCATTACCAAATTTGTTTTGAATTTACAGATCACACAAATATTTCTTCCTTATTTCATTTTTCCACTTTAAAGATCACTTGAATTTAATCATAGAGTTAAACATTGGATCTTTTATTTGACAAGTGATCAATTCCGAGTTAACAATATTTTTTTTTAATAAGTGAGTTAACAATATTTTATTTGTTAATTATTTTTTTTATATTCTTTTATTTGGTAATTGAGTTAATTAACACCATATCTACATTATATTTTTTATGTTCTTTTATTTGATAATTGAATTAACAATGTTTCCAAATTTTTTACTCACACTCCAAAATCTTGAATGAATTCTTACGGGATTCTAGCACTATATTCTAATGAGATTTCTTCCATCTATTTTTTTTATATATACCACAATACTAAATTCTTTTACTTTTTTTGTCAAATTATTTTTTCATACACTCGTGCAGTCCACGGATATCGTACTAGTTATTTATATTTAAAACGACACCATCACTTACACGACTTACCATCTTATATTATATATATTTATAATTTATGTCAGATAACTATTTTGTAGTTAAGTTAGTTTAATAATTTTATATTTTTGAATTAATATTAATAGGTAATTTAATTTTAATTATAAATATAAATAAAATTACATATTTATTTTGTATATATAAATAGATGTCAAATCAAAGCTCATCAAGACATGATCAATTTAATAATAGATTTATTAACTTTTAAATATATTTATAATTTAAGTTAGTAAATGTGCTATAATTTTAAAAGAAAGATTGGATAATATTATATCTTATAAATCACGTTTACAATTAGACATAGTATTATAACACGATTAATGCTCTTAAATTAATCATAAATATCTAGTTTATTTCTGGATATTCCAAGCCTAGTTTTGGATTGGAAATAAATTAAAATTTATCCAAGTCAAACAACAAGGTTTAAAATATTGCCACATAGGATTCCAAAAGGTGCAAGCCTGCCACTTAGGCTCAACACATTAGGGAATTATATAGAGGGGATTTCTATACAACATGTGTCTAAAATTTGTTACTAATCAATAAGAATCTTATATAGCAAAAATGTATCACATAATTTGAACGATCAAAATATAATAATGTAAATTGCAATTGTATTTGTTCACGTAACCTAAATCCCCAAATTCGCTCCAATCGTTGTCCATCTTCCTAGTGTGTCTTCCCCGGCAGGCAGCCAGGCCCTTTGCCAGTGGACGACCCTTAATCGCACCGCCTTTGCCCTTTTGTGTTGCCATTATCAACTCCCACCGGTGGAGGATGACTACCACCCGACGGTCGAGTGTCGTCGTTCTCATGTTGCCGATTGAGGGGGAGGTTTGTCGGCCTTACCGGTCTCGAGGTGGTGCGGGGTGGTGGTGCAGGGTTGGGGCTTGGGGTGGCGCAGCCGCTCACGATTTCGATGACAGGGCAGAAGGTGCTGAGGAGTGGCGACTTCTTGCCCTTGTTCACATGTTCTCTGGTGTGGAGTGGATGGGAGATCGGCGTTGTGGACCTTGGACGGTGGTGTTGGCCGGGTTCGGGGCGGTGGTGGTGTGGGAGTGTGGGTTGTTGCTCTTCCGGCTGTGGGTCGGGTTCTTCTCCATGGAGTACTTCAAGGTCTTTGGTTCCGGCTTCAATTAGGTGTTTTGGAAGTTTCAAGAGCCGGTTATTGGATTGCAGTCTAGTCTTTTGGGTGGTCGACTTGGATTCTACTGGTGCATTGTGCTAGGCTTGGTTTGTCTGCAAGGGGAAGGAAATTTTTGTTTTTTTCGTTTAGTTTAGCTTGTTTGTTCTGTGTGTCTGGTTTTGTTCGTGTTTATTGTTGTGCTTTGGGTTGTGTTTTCTTCCGAGTGGGAGTGTGTTATTCTCCTGTTGGGAGCATGTTATTCTCTTGTTGGGAGCTATGTAGTTTATTGTGTTGTGGGTGCGTTAGTGTAGTTGCTTCTAGGCTACCTCTGTGAAAGTCTCATGGATTTAGTTGTTTGGCTGCTTTACGTGGTTTTTGGTTTTATTNTTTTTTTCTTGTAGATAAATGTATTGCAAATATATTCAATTGCATATAATATGTTATGTGGAAAAATCTCCGCTAGAGATTAGAAAGCCTGAAAGTTGAAAGATGAAGTGAGTGATGTTTTAAAAAAGAGTCTCTAGTTTATCAAACTCTCATTATAATGTAAACCAATTTGTAACGCCCCGAATATATATTACTATTTATGGAGCTCGACTTTATTTCCATAAATAGTCAGTTTCCTTATTTGATTCATTTAATTATTATTATATGCATTAAATCAAGTAATTAGTAATAAGTCTAAGCCATAGAGAATTTATTCGATTTTGGATTATTAAAATCGGATTTATTTAGCCCAAGTATCGGTTTTATTTTTAAGGTAAAACCGAGCCTTCGAAATAATAAAAAATTTCCTTAAGTTGGGCTGAAGCCCAACAATCGAGCGAGTCCAATTATAATCGGCTTATTTATTTATTCCAGCTCATTTAATTAAATCGAGCCCAAGTTCGATTTTAATTTAGCCCATTTAAAAATCGAGCCTATGTCGATTTTTAAATTTGAACCCAATTATTTTATTAGAATTGACCGACTAATTTATTTAGTCCAAGTCTGATTAATTCTCTTAGCCGAGCATTTAATTCATTAGTCAATATTCGCTTTGATCGAGCCTAAGTCAAATTAAATTCACTAGCTAGATTTTTGGATTTTAAAAGCCCAAGTCAAAGCCCAACAAGTGTTCAAAACCCTATCACATTTCCATCTATAAATACAGCACATTTCCTAGCCCACATTCCTCATTTCCAAACATAAAACCCTAGATCTATTATCTTCTACATCATTCCTTAGCAAATCCATAGTAAAATACATCATTTCTTAGCTAGAAAATCAAGAACAAGCTCACCATCACCTTCATTTACATAAAATCTAGCCACTTTCACGTTCTCCGGCAAGAACTCTAGTCGTCGGTGAGCCCTAGGCCAGCCCAGCTCAGCCCCGTCGCACCCAGGCCCGTCCAGCTCGTCAGGCCCGCTCCCAGCCTCTGTCCGCACAGCTCCAGGCCTAGTCCGACGCTGCAAGACGCTGCCCGTCCGTACCACACGCTCCCAGCATCCGTACCGCGCCCCAGGCCAACGTACGCGTGCGTCCGGTGACCAGCGTGTAGATCCGTGCGCCCGCGTCAGTACTGCACGTCCCAACAGCAGATCCACGGCCCGAATAGCCCCAACAGCCCACAAGCCTCATTTTCAGCAGCCTTCCTCATTTTGATTTTTATTTTGAGTGCATATCTGAGGTATAAGGCTAAATCTATATTCTATGGCATTAGATATGAATTATAGTTAATTATAAAAATAGGTTTGAACATATTCGAGCTGGATATGAATTTAAATGATTTTATAGGATTAAATAGATAAAAGTTCGTATTATATTCATGGCTGATGAGAAAAATGCGAAACCAATTGGATAAATTCTATCTTGATATCTTGAGTCTTAGGTTTTAATTTCGTGAATTTTGGTGCCCGTTGGCTATAAGAACCAGATTTGTGATTATAGAGCCGAAATGCCCAATTTTTGTTAACTGCGTTAGGGGCTTCATATTG